TCCGTTACCCTTTCCGTTCTCCAGCACCGTCGCGGGTTCGATCCAGCACGAAGTGGGTCAGCGGACGGTTGGCCAACTGTCGCAAAAGGGATCGACCGATCTAACGTCATCGACGATTGACATTTACCGGTAGGAGATCAACGTGGAACGCGGCGGGTTCTCGGTGTTGGGCTCGCCGCGAAATGCGCACCGAGAGGTGGCGAAAAGTATCCATTGTCCGAGCGCAGATAATTGTTCGCCGCTGGTTTCGAGAGAGATCGGGCCCGGCGTCTTGACATTTAACGAGGAGATATCCGACGAGCGTGTAATCCCGATCACCGATATTCTACAGATAATCGCCGGTGCAGTCAGATCGATCGATCCGTCAGCGGTCTCCCGGCTGTACGTCTCGATCTTCGGTGATGATTCAACGACGTTCGAAGAACTCGACGAGTCTTCTTCGGACTGTCTTCGATAAGACATTTTTCCCGTAGTCTCGTCCAGTGGTTACTTTCTCGATCCTCCCGGTTCTCTGTCCTTCGACTGTTACTCCTTTCGAAGTAGAAATGTTTTCTTCCGTGGATGAATCTTCCGTGTGTCTCACAAACACGCACGATCATCGGCAGAGATTCCTGCGGTCACTCGGGAACACCATAGGGCATCGTGTTCATTTTTTTTTTCGGGTTCACTAAAGCGTTTCGCGAGTCTCTTCGATGGTCGACCGTGAAACTCGCGTCACGGCGACGGTCATTCGTTAGATTCGGGACGCGCGCTTTCGCGGGCTAAATTACTATGATGAGTTCCCTAGCGGACGTTGTGTGTCACGACGCGACGCGACGCGACGCGACGCGACGCCGCGATCAATCCTGTCCACTGTCGGCGGACGGGAACAGACACCGGACGCGGCTCTCCCGTGGAAACGGAACGGAAACAATATTAACATCGAACGCGAATCCCATCGAGACAGGTGCTATTCGTATTCACACTTTGGGGTGGGGGCGCTGTCACGTCCGCGGCTATACGAACAAGCGGTTCCTCCTGAACACAGCTCGGGGGACGTCTTCGTTAAACCGCCGGCCACACCCTGGAAAACAGCAGAGAGGCACCACAGATTAGCAAGCAACTTCTCGGTACTCCGTTGCGAAGGATACAACGTTTCGAAATCTGAGCCGATACTTGGCTAACGATTAATTACCGTTGCTCTTAATTCTCGATAATCGTCCAGCTTCTAAGACTTGAAGGTTCAACTGAACCAATAGAACACCCACGGACTTAAACCCCTTTCAAGACTAACGTTTAAAATCCGAAATTCGAGGTTTCGCTTTCGAGTCTCAACATCCAAAGTACAACGTCTCAAGGATATAATCAACAAGCTTTCAGTTGCAAAGTATACATCGTCTAAAGTGGAAGATTTCAGGATTCAAGTTTCTAGTTTAAAGTCTAATCGTACAGTGTCACCTTGGGACTTTCATCAAGAATCCGATGGAAACGCGCATCTTTTCTAGCGGAGATATAGAGATATCAACATCGAATCATTGTTCGAGCAACTGTGGTCCAGCTGTACTTACGTGAGTAGTCCGGGATTAGGATCCGCCTGGTACCAGGAGTACTGAGGCATGTAACCCGCGTGATGCGGCGGCGGCGGGGGTGGCGGTGGATGGTGTCCAGGCGTGTGGGGATGGTGGTGGGTGTGTGGTGGCGCGTGCGGATGCGGATGGTGCTTCATCTCGCCCGGCCAGGAGGGTGCGGGCGGGCTCTCGTTGTGCTGGGGCGACATCTCGCTTCCTGGGCTCGAACTGCCGGGGGTGTGACCCCCTGCACCACCGCCCATGCCGCCGAGGTAGCCCGTCGTCGGACTTCCCGACACCGAACTTCCGCCTCCTGGAACAAAAACGTGTGCAATCGTGATGAATCGTTTATTCCTTTGACTGTCCTCGCATCGGTCGATGATGGGACAACTTAGCTTCTTGTAGCTCAACATTTTTGGTGCTTTCGATAGTATATTACTAGGCCTACAATGCGTACTGATATCACATAAAAGTACAGAATATTTATAGTACAGTAAGAACAAAAACGTGTACAATCGTGATGAATTTTTTATTCCTTTGACTGTCCTCGGATTGGTCGATGATGGGACAACTTAGTTTCTTGTAGCTTAATATTTTTGGTGCTTTCGATAGTATATTACTAGGCCTACAATGCGTACTGATATTAGAAAAAAGCACAGAATATTTATAGTACAGTAAGAAAAAACGTGTGCAATCGTGATGAATCGTTTATTCCTTTGACTGTCCTCGCATCGGTCGATGATGGGACAACTTAGCTTCTTGTAGCTCAACATTTTTGGTGCTTTCAATAGTATATTACTAGGCCTACAATGCGTACTGATATCAGACAAAAGTACAGAATATTTGATACGTAGACGAAAGGATATTTATCGTGAGCGTCACAGACGAAGATCCACTCTCAACAGTAAACCTGATCCTCGATGATCGTTATTGAGTAAGGGCAAGGGGTTGATATGTTTACGATGATTAAACTCATAGTGATATCATTGTAGAAAAATAAATCCGCCTGGACTAAATTATGCAGTATCTATTTCAGACTGTCGGATCGGCTTTCCAGTCTCACAAATTTCTATTTATATTCATATATTCAAATTTGATGAACCTTTGAATTTTATTACCCAGGATACATAATTCTGCTATCAGAAGCAACGTTTCGCGCGACGCCCGAGAAAAAGTGAAAACGGTTGTTAAAGCGTACTTAATCCAGTCTCTATTTCATCAATGAAGCATAAATGAGTTTTCGTGTTTCTCTCGGGTATTCCGGTTCCCGGTTCGAATATATTTCATTGGCAGCCGCGACGGGAAAGCTCTGCGGTGCCCGCCACGCGTCGATGACTCGTTACACGCACCGACGCAACCAGTCGTATCGCGGAGATGTGGATCGGCAAGGTTGTCGAACGGTTCTGCGCCGATGGCGTTACGAATCGATCTTCTTAATTGATTTACATCTTCCGATTCGATCCGTAGCACTAGAAGGCGCTAGATTTTCGTACATTCGTTCTATCGCAGCGTTCGCTAAGCGAGCTCCTTTCAAACGATCTTATTGGACACCTTTAAGCATCGTTTGAACTATTTGTCTCATCAAAAACGAACAGCGATTAAGATTAACCAGAAGTTAAATTAACAGCTTCGGTAATTAAGTGTTGTTCAATCGTTGTCCACGAAGCTAAGGGTCTACACGACAGTAAACAATCGCAAATTGCTCTGGAAATCATTTCTCGCAGATGAATATCACTCTGGGGCAGACTGTGCCTCGTTAAAGTCGTCGCCGCTTTCAACGCATTATTTACTCGCGAGAAAAGCTCCGGAGATTGACTCGCGATAGTTTCAATCTCGAATTGACACGTATCTTTATGCTATCACCGTGAAATTTCGACCGGTCCGAAATCGGAACACTGCATCGGTACTCGTTTAATATTTTCAGCGCGATTTAAGGCGTATCGGAAGCGTGTCCGACTTCCCATCGATCCCCGCCCGATACGGGATAATTATAAGCTTGTAAACCCGGCCGTAGCCGTCGCGCGCGTTTTCTGGTAGCCGGTGTCGCGAGCGGAAACTTCTTATTATTATTAAGATCGAGTTAAGTTAATGCTTCGCTCCTGTGCTGCGCACCGCCTGCAGCACAATCGGATAAACACTCGGGGACTTTCATTACGCGCCGTGATTTCTAAACACCCGAGTGTCATGAATCGTATGTTCAATTTTATTGGTCATTACGAGCATTGGGTTGAATGAAAACGTTCATGACAAAAATTAACGGTTACGCTCGCGGTCGCTCGCGAATCTGACTAATCATTGATCGATTCTACCGATGAATAAAATTATTAGACGACCGCCGTTAAACGAAGTAAATTGAGAAGTAAATGTGAATCAGGTTAACTTCTTATACGGGCAACTTCATTTAAATTTATAATACATATCGATGTTTATAATACCAATCGAAGCGCTTACATTTCAGCAAAACAACCGTAATTAATAATCAGTTGAAGATTCAACGATTTCAACTTTTTCACAACGGAGGATTCGACTTTGTTTTTTCCTATGATAATAACGGATACGCGCGGTGTATCACGGTCGTCCCGGCGCCGAAAAAAAATTAGTACAAAGTTCGCGCAGCGGTGTTCAATGATTAAACGACCGAGGAATCGAAGGTGAAGTTATGATAAACAGTGATTAGATCGCCGTGAATTATGCGAATTCCGAATTTAACCTCATTGATTTATGTGCAAGAAAATCGATTATAATTCCGTTTCCCACGAAAAGTGCATAAATGCATAAATGAGTGATACGCGGCTCTGCCGGTAATTAACCTCCCGCTTTAAGAATGTCAATCGCTCTAGTATAACGTGCCGCGGACGATCATTTCGAAAGATATCAAGGAACCTTATGGAACATTATAATTACAACGAAATATTATACATGCCGGTTACTATGTCGCTAATGATTAACTTATCAACGTATCTCTACATCTGCATATCGAAAGAAATATTAAGAAAGAATGAAATATAACGTTCCCTGGGCATAATGAGCAATTCTAATGCCGCTCTATCAAAGTATGCTTCTAGTTATCGAGTTATCGCTATCAAGTTGCGTACATTGTTGCAAGTGATTAATATTTTCAGACATATTAGAGAATTTCCGTACCTCCTTGCATGAGACTTCCGGGTTGGCCCGGTTGAGGGGATGGTCCTCCGGGTAGAGCGGTTCCACCGGCTAGAAGGCTACCGTGTTGTC